TCCTAAGATGTATATGTATATTCTTGTATAAATGTAATAATATATAAGTATATTATAAGTATTATTTCCTTACTGCAGATGAATGAGAGGAGATGAGACATGCTCAGCATCTCTCAATGTAACCTTTTATTGAATAGGAAGGATCAAAAACTGTTTCATAATACATGGCAGTCATACATTACATCCTCCGGATGTCTTTGTTGTTAGTGTCATTTCTTATTTTCCATGAGGTCATGCACTAAAGCTGCAGGATGGAAGAGCAATGTGAGGCAGTAATACTTTTTTTTTTTTTTTTTTTAAAGTACTTTTATTATTGTCTCCCAGAAAATAGTGAGAAAAATATGTATTTGTACTATCGGCATAAAGATGTGTATTCATCATCTTATAAATGCGCAGTATTTGTCACTAAGTGGCACTTTAGACACTGTAACAAGCAAATTACCACACAACCAATCAATATTCAGTTTAATTTATTCACTTCACAATCAAATCTCTCTCCAATTCTAAACATAGCTTTGCCTGATTAGTTAAATTAAAAAGTTATCTAGAGGTAAGGGGTGCTAACATATTTCCTTATTTTACTGAGCAGCAGATGGTGCTGCTGTGAAAAGGTGCCTTTATGTTATTAACTTGTTTGTTTGTCTTAGTGCAAGTGTTTGTTCCCTCTGTTTTGCTAAATTCTATTTAAAATTGTTTTAGATGCATGCAGCCTCTTTGTTGCTCACACTAACACTCTTAGTATCTAACATCAACCTCCCTATATAAATGAATGACATTTAATTTTTTCATTAAATAATTACTGAATGCATAGATACTCTTTTTCTTGGAGAACAATCAGGGCAATTTGTGTATAAAATATCTAGCTCTTTTAGTTCTGTGAAGTTCCCCTGGTGGTCTCTGGCCTGCACTTGGTAGAATATTATAGTTACCTCTAGTCATTTCCAGGACAAGGTCCTTTTGCACTCAAGCAGAAGATACCAAAGTGCACCCATTCCCAACAATAATACGATTTAGAACAGTAAAAGCAGAACTCTGGGCAGGGTTAAGAAAAAGTGGTTAAAAAATAGCTATAGTTATCCAATCCTCCGAGCTAGCTTGTTCTTAGACTGGTCCATGGAGCCTCTCTCCCCCTCCACTGCAGCAGTCCAAGGTCCTGTAAATCATCACATTCTATACACAGTGTATAGACAGGAGGACGCTGAGGAACATTCAAATGCTGCAGCAGGGACAGGCAGGCCTCAGTGACTGGAGAAGCAGACAGCTGGCTTGGTGGTTTGGGTGAGTATAACTGTTTTTTGTTTTGTTTTTAGCACCTAGGCAAAAACAAGCACTTAACCCTTGCAGTTTGGGAGTAGTCTCACTGCCCGGGTTAAGAACACTTTTGCCCAGAGTTCTTCTTAAACAAATGCTTTGTCAACACTGATTTTTAATCACCTTTGTAAAAACTAACAATAGTAAGTTTGATCGATTTTTGCAGTGACTTCAAGCAGAACTACAGGCGAATGAGAGTTGAAAATGCTCATCAATGGTCAGTGGGAGTAAACAATGCCCCAGGCTTAGTGGCCAGTGGAAGTAGAAAATGACCTACTGTCTGAGGTCAATGGGAGGAGGAATAATGCCATGGTTGCTGCCAGTGGAAGGAATAGTGCCCCATTGTTGGAAACAGTGGGAGCATTAGTGCCTCATCAATGGTGTCAGTGAAAGCCATAGCACAACAAGGGCAGGTTAAAGGCAAGCAAAGGGCTGCATCAAGCCCGTGGGCCATGGTTTGGAGACCACTGCATTATTGCATTGGGAAATTATAAAGTTATAAAAATCCTTTCACTAGAAAAACATTTAGGTTCGTATCCACTAGGCATGTGTTTAAATATTGGTATCCCCAGCAAGCCCAAACCAGCTGGAAACGCATATACTGATTGATATCCTTATCCTATGGGATCCTTTATTGCAGTTTTAAGTCATATCCCACGTGTCTTAGTATTATATCTTTGGTTTAATGCTTTAAAAAAATCCTTTAACAGTGTTTGAAATAAGGAATAGGCCACTGAGCCCTTTTTTCTTCCTTCGATCAGTCAGTAGTTATTATTAACCAGTAAATTAAATGTCTCATTTGCAAACTCAGAAACACTTGTCATTTGTTTTTAAAGAATAACATTTTATTGAGAAATACAGCCCCCAGAACCAGAGGGGGTTCAGCCCCTTATTAGGACACAAATTAACTCACAGTAAGTTATAGTAAAGTGTCGGGTAGGCACTTGTCATTTTTACACCTTCTCATGAGCTCACAGACTCTGCAAAGTGACACTATGCCAAATGATAAGCCACAGACTTGGACCTTTTTGCCTTTGACATCTAATATTTGCATGCCAAAGTAAATGATGAGGCAGAGATTTTAGAGTTTTTATGTCAGCCTTGATTATATCAGGAGCACCACTGATTTGCAAGCTGTCATTTATATTTCCCTTGCTGCAATCCTGCATACAAGCATAGATAACATTAAAGTGACACTATCACTAGGCGAAAAAGTTAAAGCAGCAGACTCCTATTAAAGAAAAAGGTTCACATTTACCTATCTGGATGGCAATGTGGTAAATCTTCACTTTCTCGGGCCCTGATAGTATCTGACACTTCCGTGTGTTCCTCCTGCCAACCCCCACATCATTGCTGTGTCCTGTAGTTTCACTGAGAGGTCCTTGCAAGGAGACATCAGGAAATAAGAATCACTGTACTTAAAAAGATGCTGTCGCCTTGTCAATGCAGGACAAAGTGGCAGTGTCTTTGGAAAGGGCATCCTTCAACCCCCATAGGCTTACCTTCACAGCTCCTTGCTCCTCCACAACCAAAGACACTACCTAGATCCTCTGAGTATGGAGGAATACGTGACTATTATAATGCTAGACCCAAGCACTGTCACATGAATGGCTGATGAGGGATTTCACCACTCCCCTGAGTTTCCAACACAACAGATCTCAGCACCATCTGAGAAGGAGCAAGGAGCTACAAGAGAGTGCAGCTAAGGTAGGTATTGGGGGTTGGGGGATTTTCTTTTTTCAGAAACGCTGTTTTCTTGTGCTTAATTGGGAAGGTGACAGTGTCTCTTTAGGAAGGCCTTCCATACTGCTGTATGCCAAACCTCAGACCACAGGTTACAGAAATGTAAACAATATTAACTAATATATGCATGAAAGAGTTGATAGCACAAGATGTGAATACCTTGTATCACTGTATTTGCCTATCCACGTGGTTATGCAAGTATTGACTTTGTATTCCTCATGTGATAACATCATGGCCAGATGGTTGGTTTCTGAGGCACTGTGGGATGCTGGTGGGGAGCCCACTATTTCACAAAACCTGTGAGTTAGTGCAGCCTTTCTTAAACAAGGTTCTATGGCACACAGGGTTTGTTTTTGTGTGGGGGTCCCCCTTTAAGGTCCATACCAGACCCCTGGCTAGCTTGTGGGTTTGGTTGGGCTTGAAGTGCCTCACGATTTTGCATACTTTTAAAAGGTGCAGTGACTGAAAAAAGGTTGAGAGGGTGTGGGGCGATGGGCAAAACTGTGCCATAGGGTCAAGCAATTGTAGGTACCTTCTGACAGACTAGGTTATCATGCATATACAGTATTAGTTCATAACATTTCTCATTGCTACAGCTTTAGTGTTGCTGCAATAAAAGAAAGAAAGGTCAGAATGGAATGACCTTGTTTCAATAGCTGTAGAACAAAAGCAGGCAAGTATGTCCAGTAAGGTTTGCTAAAATCCTTTCAATGAATACAGCTGACCTTCAGCAAAACTAATGTTGTTTTCAGATATTACTGCCAGTGGAAATGTGATATGCATTAAAAACATGATCATGCAGCACTCTATGTTGTAAACATGGTAATAATTACCCATATCTTAAAATCCAGCAAGCACATCAGCGATTGATCTTCTTGGGCTGACCTGAACTTTATCCTGTACTTGTTATTAAAGTCCCTGATGGAAGATATCAACATGAACTCAAGGTGACAACTGAAAACCTAGAAGATCATTCAGTTGTAATCACTTCATTATTAATGTAGAGACCTATCATAGGTATGTGTTTATAATGGCTCCTTACAAGGAATAATGTTCACGTTTAAGATTTAGTGCTTGGCTTCTGTTCAGAGATCCTTGTTAGGCGATTTGTCATTAAGAACAGTGGAGTTTAAAATGACAGCCCACATGTGTGTTACATTAGATTTGAATACCCTAATTCCTGAGCTACTGCATATGGTAACTAGGTATTTATCAAAGTTCCTTGCTTCTTCTAAGCATGAGCTATTTCAAAAGACAGTGCAAAGAGCAATATTGATGTGTAAGGTGCATTCACCCACAACCACCAGTCTGAGAAAATCTGTCTACCTTAAGGCCCCGTTCACAGCAGGGCCGTTCGGTCACGCAGATTTGTCCACCCTGAACCGCCGGAATGAACGATCCCATAAATTCTTATGGGGACTGTTCATGCAACCACATGGCCCCACGTGATCTGAACCGCCTGCAGCCCAAAATGCTCCCTGAGCTACTTTTCGCGCTATTTTCCATATAGATTTTAATGGAAATGCGCTGAAACGCAATTAAAAACATCCAAAATTGCTCTTTAAAAAATCACACAGAAATGCTTCCGCTCTGGTGTGAATGGGGTCCGAAATTTGATGATGCTATGGGTTTGTTCACTGCTTACTAAATTATAACAAAACTGAGCAACTCAAACTGAACATATGATAACGAAAATATAAGCAGTGGTTACCTTCTTTAAAACGACATCAAAATGATCAGCAGACCCAGAGACATAACTTGCATAAGTCTTGACAAGCTTGTCTATGTGTAAATTACGCAAAATTATAGTGGCGGATCTAATGAACAAAGGGCCCTGGTGCAAGATTTTTTCTTGGGCCCCCCTTTTCCGCTTGGGGGGTGGGGTGCCGGGACCGGATATGCTGTTCCCCCAGCAGTTTCTGCACTAAAGGCGCTTACACTCTTATGTCCCCCCATAGTCACAAACTATTATTATACATTAATATTGCTCTGACGAAAACTGTAGTGCTGTACAGAGAACCCTGAGCAAGTCTCTGTACAGAGCAGCCTACACGCTAATGCAGAATGCCTTTATCAATAGAGGACTGCTAATCCCAGCAATACATTATACAGCAATGCAGTATAATAGTACTGTATATTAATTTGGTACATACTCTGTGCTGCCGCTCTTCTCCGGTGTGCCAGCCTGATATCTAGGGCAAAGGGTCTCAGGAGGGTTGCAGAAGGTCTTCTGCATTGCTGTGTAATGATTATATAGCAATGTAGAATACCACCAGCTATACACGACTTCAAATCTCAGCAATACATTATACAGCAATGCAGAATACCACCAGCTATACAGTACTTCAAATCGCAGCAATACATTATACAGTACCAGCCTCACCTAAGTCCTGCAGCACCTTCTTCTTCTTGGCGGTCGGGGACAGGAGGGATCGCAGGAGAAGGTCCTTAGTGTCTCCCACACAGCAGGATGTGCTGCCTGGCAGTGTCTGCAAAGTTGGTAGTAGCTCCACCTGGCTAACTAGTCTCCACAGGGGACCGGCCTCCTGAGGTGCTCGCACCTCTCCATCCGGGCACAGCCGCCCCTACAACGGCGAAGGAAGGGTGTGGCGATATATATATACACAAGCACTCTTTGTTTTACAAATAAACATTTAATACAACATAGGATTCCCAGAGTACTATAAGTCTTCTAAAAGAATGGAGATGTATGTTGCATAAAGGTAGAGTCTAGTAAATGCGACAAATTACTGCTCAGACTCATTCACATGCATGCATACATTTCCACTTTGGCCAGTGATATTAGTGAGCATGACTGGTGCAAACAGGCAAAAAAGTGTAAGTTTACTGCTGGAAAATGAGGCAAGGAACACCTACAAAGAGGTACTAAGTATAACATTGCTCCCCACTTGCTTAGATGGTAAGAAGGTGGGTAAATATTATAAGCAGTAATAGACATTAAAAGTGGACCTGAAGTAGTATTGTTAGGCACTGGATCAGCCCACTTAGTGTCCCTGTTAGTGAAACTTACCAAACCTTGAAGTTACACCACGAATTTGAGAGATTGCATGCGCTTAAAAACGGCACTTTGAAGTCGTTCACCAGAAAGTGGAAAATATGGACCCCTTAATCTGTAGTGTTGTATGGCTTTACCTCTCCCTTATTCCTGTTCTTGTCTCCTTCCATTCCCCTCTTTTCCTCCTCACTGCAGCAGCCTCTAGTACATTGTGATACCCTAGTGTGTTGTTTACCGGGACAGCACCGCTCCTCGCTTGATAACATTGAGTGTACTGTTGCCTTTTTATTGTTCTATTGTTGCACTGCTCGTGCTTGATATTTTTGAAAATACAAATAAAAATCTAAATGGACCTGAAGTAGCAATAAACTCTCAATTCTTTTTTTGTGTGGCCACTGGATTGTACATATAATATGAAATGTAATTTCAGTGAATACATCTACACATTGGCCACTATAAGGGAAACAAATTAACATATGGTTTATAGAAGACATGGACCAATTAATGTCTACATCTTTGGTGCATGCAGGTTGCTGTCTGCAAAATTCTATCCAGAGGGGTTTATTGGTATTGTACAGCATATGCACAATGTAAGGAACTATTTTATTGCCCTTGATATTAAAGCAATGGACATCTCTATTTAAACAGTCAGATGCCCCATCTGTTTTGTATTATATTTGCCTCTTATCCTGAGATACAACATTGATGTCTTAAGGCACTTATTACATGCAGGACAGAGAGGGCAGGGGTCCCAGCTAGAAAGGCATGGAGAAGTGGAAACATATGATATATTCGCCATGAGGTACTTGATTTGCATTTCAGATGCAGAAGAAAACACCTTTGTTATTATGGAGAAGCCTAATCATATTTTATTTTAAGGGACTGTAAAGAAGCAATAAGAAAGCCACATATGTCAAGATTCTTTAACTTAGGGCAGTGTAAAGATATCAACATGGACTGCACTGTGTGTAGGACAGGAAACCTACTCTTTTCTAGTTGTGTGCAGTACATACATAATAGAGTTTCTGAATTAGTGTTACATGGGACTTTGGGGAAAAATGTCACTTTATCACATACTTTTTATAGAGTGGATTTACAATTAAAATGGAGACGTGGTAAAGCCTTCTTAAAACAGAAGGTATCTGCATGCCACATCACAAATCTAAAAATGGGTTTAATCCTTATTTTAGGGTAGTGGGTGGAACCATACCAGTCATCCCCTTATGCCCCATGGCCAATTGTGCATCCAGAACTACTGTTTATATCATATATATAGCCTAATATTAGAGAGCCATATATTCCAAACTGCATGCAGCTGTTTCATGTTTGTCAGCCTTTATTAGTGCAGTGTATGGAAACCATGGCTACTATCGAGTAGAAAATGGAAAAAATAAAAAATGATTTCCAATATAATATCATGTACATTGGTGATTGGCCTAGTCTCCAACATTCCAGAGACAGAAACATACATATCAGGCACAGATCATGTAGCACTAAATAGAAAAACTAAATGTAAATAATGCATCATATTGTGTTCCCGTCTAAGTGACCCTGCTTAGATTTCAATATTTATATTTATCCAATCATTAAGTAGCATTGCATCAGAATTCAGGTACATTGGATGTATTCTCCAAGAAAAGGCTGGCAGGGTGTTGGTCCATCTGGTGGCTCTAGATGTCTGGCGTTGTCCTTTGCTATGTGCCTTGGGTCATGAGAAGATAACTTCACAAAATTCCCCTTACAAACATGTTCACTAACTTTGCTTTGCCTCGCCAATACTTTTTACTTTAAAAATAATGTCAGATATAAAGTGGAGTCAGTCCAAAAATGTATGAGACTGTTACAAAATGGCAGGCAATGTGGTGATTCAGCAATGGTAATCTGCAATTTCCCTACACAATGTGCCTTTATATAAGGAACCCATGTCTAAAGTGACAGTTGCAACCAAAGGACCAGGGGCCCAAGAACTAAAATCTATATGCAAGGTAACATTTTTTCAATAATTTTCCTTTGTAAAGTTTACAGTAAAACTTTTCTGGCAGGATGTAAGCATATAGGCAGTATATGTTTATAAAGTCCTTTCAGTTAGATTTTCTTACATGTTGTACTGGTTGTCAGCCTGCAACTAGACATAGTGTTGCTGGCAGCATCTCCAGGTAATATGTGGCCATATTTTTTGCATTTCCTGGAGTCTTATTGGAAAACATGCTCTCGCTGTCAATAGACTAATCAAATATCTCTTATGTTAATGCTAGAGGCATTTCAGGTTAAAATGCAGAAAGATTAACTAGACAAATTGATTTCCAAAATGTTTATTTTTCTGTTGCATGTGTACACTCCTGAAGCGCCAGAGCAAATATTTTTCCTGGCATCATTCTACTAGATTTAAACATATATATAAGTATTCTGCCATGCAGCCTACAACCTCTCAGCTCACAGACTGCCTCAGGAGAGACGCAAGGCGCAGTTTGGCATCATGAGGCTGTTATTGGCCACTTTGTTTCTGGTTCAGTTGCTGTTTTCTTTAGCGCATGTAGTACCTTCTAATAATCAGGTCCTGAATTGTGATGATGAGGAGGCCCATCAGGCAGCTGCAGTAGCAGTTCAGTACATCAATGCACATCACCATAGTGGATACAAGTTCACTTTGAACCAGGTGGAGAAAATTATACCTCTTCCTTCGGTAAGTTTTTATATTAAAACAGTTTCCTAAATGTCTAACTTTGTTAATGGAAAGTGTGTCTACATTGCACACATTGGACTGTAGTGTGAATATACTGGCTTTTGGGTAGCTCTGTAGTTTTAAAGTCTTTCCCTGGGGTAAATCAATTAGCTTCCAAATGTTTTGAAAAACACAATGGGGTCAATTTACTAATAGGCTGTTCACTTTACAAGAGAATTTGCACTTTGCAGTTTAGTAAATGAGGTGGAGCTCTGCTGACTTACAATCATGTGCAAGTAAAACTATTGGAGTTTTTTTTCAAATTTTGCACATATTTGGGTATTCTTTGCAAAGTAAAATTTCACCACATTCATCAAGATAAGGGAAACTCCCTTGCAAAGTGAAAAGCCTAATTGCCTTTAGTAAATCAACCCCAATCTATGTTGTTTTATAAGGCCAAGAGCAGTGTGCATTGGGAATATCCCATAGCAACTAATCAATAATCATCTTTAATTTTTCATATTGTTGTAAACTGATGAGCAGTGAAATCTCTCATGATAATAGGTAAATGGGAACTGCCGACTTGTTGTTGTAGCTATATGTTTCTGGTCTCTTACAGGGCCGGCCTTAGGGGTGTGCGAGCCGTGCGGCCGCACAGGGCGCCATGGCAACAAGGGCGCCGTGCGGCCGTCAATTATACCCAATATGTGACTTCTCTACTACAGCTGTATACAGTACTTCTTTCAAGTCAGTAAAATGAACAATTATTCAGTAAATATGGCCAACTAAATTGTCCAAGCATGCAATTAAGGTAAACAAGGAAAAAAATATTTTTGGGGTTCAAAATCCAAAGCAACCAATTTCCTTCCACCGATATTCTAGTTGTTAAAAATAGAACAATTACCTCCTAATCAAGCCAAAAGCAGCTGGTTTCTATGGCAATCATCTAATGCCTGTGGTTACCGATATTCATGTTTGCATGGTAAGTCTGTAAATACTCAAAGTGGTTTTACAAAAACCTAATTAGATCACTGAGTATAATATAAGTATATTGATTTGTTGTTTTTTTTCCTCCTCTTTTATTGCAACAATTCAAACCTGTGCTTTATTTTCTTTACTCTCTTTAAGCATGGGGCCGATGAAATTTATTTTTTCGAATTAGATCTTTTGGAGACGTTATGTTCACATGTGAGTTCAACACCAATAGAACAATGTGCTGTGAGACCGAAGATTGAACAGGTATGTCTTCATCACAATAAAATACCATCTTAAGCAGATCTCCACAATATTTGGTTTATTTTATATTAAATATATAGCTAGTGAACAGTGATCGATGACTTAAAGGATAATTAAAGCCTCTGTTTTTTTTGCATAGATCTACTGCTAGCGAGCAGTAGATCTATGCAAAAAGTGTAAAAAACAAAACGCTTTAACAGAGGTTTATACTCACCTGTGTCTTCCCTGCGCACTCCCGTCCGAAAATGTGAAGATCCTCGGGCGTCCGCAAAGCAGCATGCGCAGTCCACATTTTCGGCCGGGACGCGAGAAGAGACATAAGGTAATTCTATGGACGCGTGCACCCGCATGCAGACACCGCGGAACAGAAAGTGCCAGCAAGCTGAGGGGAGTCAGTGGTGGATCGGACACCCGCCGCAGCGCTGGAGGGACAGATGAAAAGGACAGGAAAGAAGAAGATCAGATTAAGAAACATTATTTAAGGTAAGTGCTTTCATTAACAAAAACAAAATTGACTTTAATGTCACTTTAAAAGCTGAACTCCAGCTTTACCTTAAAGCGGACCATTACCCAGATCTTTAAAATAACAACAAACACATCTTTAGAAATAAAAGACAAAAACTTGCGCTTCTGGAAGAAGGAAAAAACAAGAAAAACCAGACTAGCTAGAAGCTGCTGCAAATCAGGCGGTAAGCCCTGGGGGTTAATTAATCACATTGTAGCGCTAAAAGCCTCACAGTGTTAGACCCAACTATATAGATAATGTTTGTACATAAAACATATGCAGTTGTGAAACTTTGTGAGTGAAAACTATATAAAACTAGACTTCTGATGATTGTGTGTGTCTAAATAAAACCATACTTATAAACATCTCTGTGAGAAAATGTGTATATCAAGCGAATGAAGTGTCTCCAGTGTTTCATCCGATGACTCTGAACATCACTGTAGAAAAACCAGTGCATAAATCAATGTGTCAAATGAAAAAAAATCAAAAACGAGTGATTTGTGTACAATGTTTCATCCAATAAATCCCAGTAAGTGAAACAAATACAGATTTGTTACATTCAAAAATCCAGTGATCGTAATTGGAAAGGAAAAGTTTGTTGTTTGAAAACTTTGATAAAAAAGTCCGATGTAAAGTGAATCCAGGAAAATCAAAGAAAAAGAGTCCCGCTATTGTTTCTTCCAAAGAACAAAGTCAGATGTGTTCGATCAGTCCCAATCCGGTGATGTGGTGAACATAACGAAAAAAAAGCTTTCTAGGGTATATACTCACCGGACTTAGGAAGTTTTCAGACCGCGTATAACACCGGAGTAAGAGCAGATAATTTGCCGTCCTATCCTCTGTCTTCTCCTCCACAAGGTCCGCGAAAATCCTCTGTCCAACTCCCGTTCCCCGTTATAAAAAATAAAATAATGCAATCTACAATCTACAAACACATACTTCTAGATAATTGCCAGCTTTGTATTCTTTGCATACCTCATTTCTCTTTTCTTCCCCAGTCTTCTGACAGTGGCCATGTTTACTAAGGGCAGATTACTAGCTTTCCTATTACTTCCTATATTTCTGGCACATGTGACTAGATATATGACTAGGACATGTGACCATGCACATCATCTCAGGGGAGGAAATGCTTTTCAACGAGATGAGATTTCCCAGCAATGATGACAAGGCAATCCCAGTGTGCTTTACTTTGGCAAACTGAAGTCATTTTGCACTTTCAAAAGCAGGAAGTGAATGCTCTGTAAGTGTAAATATTTTATAATCACAGCATTTTATAACTGACATGTCTATGTTATTATTAATTATCATACATAGAGGGATGCTTTGGTAGAATTTGATTTTTGAGTGTAGAAGTCCGCTTTAAATCCAGTACAGTTGTACAGGCTCCTTTTCTGTACTGAAAATGCTTACTATAATTTCACTGCACACAGTAAGCATCTTCTGTGGGATTATTTATAAAACTGTTTTCATGGAACTACCACCACTAGATGGCACTGAGAGGTATAGAACTTTATATATAGGAGTATAATATGGGAGTATAATTTCCTATATTACGCCTATACTACTCATCTCCATCTAGGGGCACTAGTGCTGTGCGAATGGCTGGGCAGAATTGACATAAATAAACCTATTAGTGTGCATTAGAAGCTGCATCAAGTCAGATAGAGCCCTACTTATTTCCTCGCTGGAGGACTGTCCTTGGCCCGCACTCTTTATACTGTGGATTTCACTTCTTTCAATAAAGGGGGCTCAGTATCACATGTAGGCATCACCCAGGGCAGTCTGCATGCCTATTTATAAGGGCTGAGGGCTGTTGAGAAGAGTACTGAGACAGCGTGTTGAGATATTTTTTGGATGTTATGTACAGCAGCCTCTGACCCCTTTCACCAGCCATAATCTGCTTGCACAGCACAGAGAAACCGAGCACTAATGATTACATCACTGAGTCTAAAATAAGATGTGTAATGAAAAAATATAAATGTTTTATTTAAAAATGTAATTAGCATGTTAATGAGGAAGGGGGTGGGGGGAGAACCAGGGAAGACAAATATGTACAGATGAAACTTCAGCATAAGTATAACTAAAGGTAACTAAGGCTGCAGGTTCTTCTCCAGCAAGCAGCACAATGGTGACATCACCAAATCTCACCCCAAGTCCCTTAAGACTAGCAATCACAGGCAGCAGTGCCACTCACTCAGCAAAATATACAGCTATGAGGTTGTAGGCACAGCAATGTCTAGGCACAATTACACTTTAGGCAGTGAGCCGCTATTTTTCAGGTGGAATTGTAGACAAAAGGTAAATTCTTCAGGGGGCAGTATGGGCACAATTGCTTTTTCTAGATTTCCCCTATAACATAATAAATCTTCACTTTTTCAATTCAGGTTCATGTTAAGAAAGCAAAGTTATTTTAGTGAATTACAAAGCTGCCTCTACTGGTTTATATACAAATCTGTTTATTTTAGACAATAAAGGAAATATGGCAAAGTAAGCATATAAGAAAGTCACACAAAAACAACTTCATTGTAAATATTACAATAGAATACAACATTTGTGTTTGCTAAAAATATGCTATAGTTCACAGACAAAATACCGAGCATCGAATGAAGGCATTTACTATGGTTTTGTAAATAACTTTTCTTCAATTATCCTTTTACTCACAGGCAGTAGAAGCGGATTGTGATTTCAAAATGAGGAAGCATAATAACACCTTTGAGGTCCTTAGGGGGAAATGCAAGTCGGAAATAAGTAATTTGTTTTTATTATAATTATTTTTATTTTTTTCTTCATTATATATTGTCATTATGAAGGTATAGCTGTCACCTCAGATGTAGACATTTGCTATTTTTTTTTTACCCTCAAAAATTACAATTGCAGTTGAATAAGTTGTGCATAATGTTTGTATAAGTCAGCTCTATATTTGGATTTAATAATATTAAATAAAAGGACAAAACTGACTTTGCTTCGGCAGGCAAATTTGTTTTTGGCCATGTAAGGTTTATACTAGACGTAGCAAGGAAAATTACCCTATTAGATTACCCTATCAAAAAAACTATTTTTAAAATGTCATTCCACCCATATGTGATATTTTAGTTATTGGTGGTGGCCATGGAGCTGAACCAGCCTATTGCTTTTTTATGTCTTGGATACTCCAACAACAATAATTCCTAAGTCTACTTTTGTCCAGCTGGGAGTATTCTTCACCTTTGTGTGTTCCAGCATCTCCAGTTGCATTCTCCATAATATGCAGTACATTAAACATTCAGCAGAAGGAGAAATCTAGTTAAACTCTCTAGCATCTACCAAAGACTTTGAGCAAAATCCAACATTCAAGGCCAGCTTGTAGAGAGGTCATTCAGTTATAACTCTAAGGTCTTGTGTAGGGGCATTCAGCTTGCTTTTGAGTTGCTCCTGAGATGCTGCAAATGCTAGTTGCCTGGCTGTCGTAATAATCCTCTGGCAATAAAATTAGGGATGCACCAATACTGTTTTTTTAGTACGGAGTAGGAATAACGATATTTTGTATTCGCTACTCGCCGATACTGACTACCGGTGCCTGTGCCCAGATTATCAGGAAGTCGGGCAGCGGATCATTACATGTGGCCCTAGCAACAAGTGAAGCCAGCTTCCTAGCCAACCAAGAAGCCGAGAGGCAGATCATAACTTATTGCCCGTCTTCCTGATTGGAAAGGAACTCAATGCGCCCTCGGTACTTCCGGTCTGAGGTAGATCTCCCTCTGACTGGAAGTCCTGGTATCGGAGATAAGTATCGGAGCATTTTGGTGAATGTGATACTCGCTCAAATACTCGGTATCAATACCAATACTAGTATCAGTATCGGCGCATCCCTAATCAAAATGTTCTGATTAATTAACCCACATATGCAGTAAGTGATGTCAGAACTCTGTATTCAAACAGCGCAAACCCCCTAGCATAGAAATCCCATAGTAGGAGCCCTCCAATAAATAGATATTATAAGTATAATATAAAGTGCATCCAAACATATTTATTTAAACATTGCAAAACATAAAGATAAATCACCTCATTACATTTAAAACTTATTTAAAAATCGCATAGCTTCCCTGAAGTGACTCAATGTGGGACAGAAATAAACAGGGTTGAAATACCCGCAGGGCAGAGCAGCAGTCATTGATATGAACGGATACACCGTTATGAGGTGGTGGATACTAATGTATCAGCATATGATGATAGGATTACTCACTTGTTCCTCACTTGTGGCCACAAGGGAAAGAGTCCGTACTTCTATGATAGATATTCCAGTGATATTCTTAGTAAAGGTTTTTTATGCAAAAAACATTTGTAATCCTGCTGATCGCTTAAATGTTTCCACCACTTGCACCAACTTCCATTGAGTTTGATCCCGACCTGTTTCACTTCACATCTACTGTGGACAGGTGGCCTGACAATTCCCCTGCAAGTGCGGCCGCACCTTAGAACGGGGTGAACGATGTTCCACGGGCAAGGTATCCAGTGATGTGCTTTATCAGGGATTAGAAATTGGTGATCTCCGCTGTCGCTGTGTTGCTTGAGCGGGCCTCGCTCAATACAATCGGTATAGCAGAGGCTCTCCTGCTCGATCACTGCGATAACATACAATTGGTAAGTCCTGGGTCCTCAGGGAAGCTAGTCACACGCTGAACCCTTGACGCGTTTCCCCCCAACAAACGGGGCTTCCTCAGAAGCTCCTGATCTGCATACTTAGTCAGGACCTTGAGAGAATATTTATGTCAGACGATCATGCTTACAGGGAACTAGAATTTTCATGCCAGCAATGACAGTCTACATATTTCCCTCATGACAAACAAAAATTTTTTTTTCTATAGTGAACAGCACAGTGGCTTAGTGGTTAGCAAGTCTGCCCTGCAGCACTGGGGGTCCATGGTTCCAATGGAGGTCAGGACACTATCTGCTTAGAGTTTGCATGTTATCTCTGTGCTTGCCTCGGGTTCCCCCTTATATTCCGTTTTCCTCCCACACTCCAAAGACATGCTGGTAGTTATCGGGCACTTGTCTAAATTGGTCCTGTATGTATCTGAGTTAGGGACCTTAGATTGTAAGCTACTTGAAGGCAGGGACTGATGTGAATGTGCAGTATGTAAAGCACTGCATAAATTGACTGCCCTATATAAATACCTGTAATAAAAATGAATATAATGTTCTACATACATGCTCCTCATTGTTTCTTGAAACAATATATGTATTACTGATAGAGAAGATATGGATTGAGTTTTTGTTTCTATCTAAAAGGACTAATGACTGTAATACAATATTTCAATCTATGATATTGTTTTTCATTGCCTTCTTCCAGAATCTACAGAGAAGTTACGTCGGATGTGCCCAGGCTGCCCTCTGTTGGCACCTTTTAATGACAGCCGGGTTGTGCATGCTGTTGATGTGGCACTGCATAAATTTAATAGTGGAAACAATACAAGCTATTATAACCTTCATGAGATTGGCCGTGGGCGAGTTCAGGTATTTTCTCATATAGTATAACTGTATGTTTTGTAGAAAGGATATATAGTACAGCGCTAGAAGCCTTTTGGTCATAAATCAAAAAGCTCAATTAGTGTAACATCATTATTGAGTAAAAAGCATTCATAGAGAGAATAGAATTAAAAGTGTCAATCACATCTATGTGAATAAAGTATGTATGTTAAATGCCAATGGATAACAGACAAGATAGCATATATAAACTGATAATGATCAAAAGGTGTGTGAAAAACACTATACAAGAAACAATGTGTGAGAACTTACTGCTGCACTAGCAGCAAAGTGCTGTGAAAAATGTGTCAGTGAAACAATGTTGCAAAGATACCACATCAATCACAATATAGCAACATAGTGTATACAATGTGTAAATATGAATCCTTTGTTATGGCTGTTGGAGCTGAGATCACAAATCTCACATCAAATGAATAAATACATACTTATCCCTTGCCTATTTAGTTCCCTGTGCTTATGACAACAGGTTGTATGTCAAACTATATCATTTTTCCCTGGCTACATAACATTCAGTCTTTTAAACTAAATGACAAAAGTCATGTTAACACTGAACTTGACCTGAGCTTTAGCATTTCTAAGATAACAACAGTGCTAAAGTGGTGCTTGCAAGTACCTATCTTGAATGAATCCCTCTGTCTCTGTGGAGTTTTTTGAATCTTAGGCCTAAGCTGTACATGGGGCTTGACTTCTGCCTAAGTTGTGTTTAATTCCCACCCCATATCTTACAACTGCCCGATGCTAGAACTTCAGTATGCAGTAGAATCTCGGGTATTTGACAGTTGGTTGTTGGGGGAGTACTTTTCACAGGGAGGGGGAAAGACTTAATCTTGACTTGGGCAGAAGTTGAAGCCAAAGTATAGCCTGGGCCTAGGATCCAAAGGGGTCTCTAAAGGAGCATGGGGATCATGCTGAAGACAGGTTCTTGCAGGCAATTATTATCAACTTGGGCTGAAGCAAGGTCCCATGAACAGCCTAGGGCTGGGATCCAAGGGACTCCAAGGAGATATAATAGTCAATTAGAAGAATAGCAGACATTCTTTTGGCCAACTTTAGCACAGCTGTTTCTTTAGCAATATTTTAGACCAGTTAAAGGTAAACTATGAGGTGAGTGCTTTTCACTCACCTCATAGTTCTAGCCGACCTGTGACAATGAGACTGTCACAGGTCGGCTCAGTAGATTGGGAGGTGAGCGAACACATGCCGGTGTTCGCTCACTTCTCGATTCTGTCACGGCTCTCTGCCGTGACAGGGGAGAGGATGGATTCCCTGCTCCGATCCGCCAGCGCTGACTGGCGCAACTGACGGGGGGCGGGTACAGCTGGCTCTGCCTCTAGATAGGCAGAGCCAGCTGTCACTCATGCAGCAGGGCGGATCTCGACATCGATGTCGGGATCCGCTCCGGCTGCGGCGTCTCAGTAGCTTAGGGTGACGGGAGGACGCTAGTTTGTGCCCTCCCGTTACCCTAAGGAGAACTATGGGGAAAAGCCCTGACCCCATAGTTCTCCTTTAAGGTTCACATTACATGGCAATCCTTCTATCATGTATACAATGACAATTAATACACTTTTATATAGTGTGCGGGAAAACAAGGACCTTAGGCTTTTATTGCGGTCTAGATCCACATGGGAGACTTTTTCTCACTTCCCACCACAGTAAAGTTTTCGGTCACCAGGACAGATAAAGAAAAGAATCTCCCCAACAGAACCTTGAAAATGAAGAAAAAAAAGGCAGATGTTTAAACTGTTTCAAACTCTATCCAAAACGAAAAAAAAATATAGCTATAGATATATTTTACTAAAGAGCTACAGCTATTATTTTTTAATTCAAATGGACATTTAAAGAAAAGCTTAGGCTAACACCTTTGAAAGGGTTAGTTAATAAGGCA